AAAATGAAATCAAAATTTACCAAACAATACTTGTTTAAGTGAGCCTTTTTCCATATATTCATAAATCAGCAAGTGTAGATCTTTTTTGGAATAGACATCCAACAATTCGACAAGATTGTCATGCTTTAACTGTTTCAAGGCATAGACTTCGGTTCCTATTTGATCCTTGTTTGATTCAAAAGAAAGCTTGGTCACAGCTACCGTCTGATCTGGCAGTTGAGCCTTATGCAAAACAAAGACTAGTAATAAATAAAGTGCCCAAATGTATGAATTATTCATCCCAACATAAAACAATATGTAAAGTATAACCTTGTATATCATCCCAAAACGCCCATTGCCAATCTTATTCGTTGGGCTGAAATTTCCAGTAGCATCTTTCACTTGTTTTATAGTGTAAGACTGGCCTCGGAGTACCACCTTTGTCACTACACAGATTAAAAAAGTAAAAGCATAACTAAAATTATCTTAACAAAAGAATTTAAATTAGAGTCATTTAAATTTATTGCATATTACCACGCAACTCTCTGTCTCCCAGATATCCCATTCTCCACATCAAAGCCAAAACAAGAACCAATAGAAGAAGTGCAGCTAATACAGAAGCAACCACAATCCATACTATCGGTAATGGTTTGATTTCTGAATACAATAGTTGATTGCAACAAGAACCATACTGTCAGCATAGTCGTAAAAATGGGAATTTGAACAAAATTAAACAGAAGGGCAAGTGTGAAATTTTGTACTTCGATTGACCGAAATAGCTGATATGAGAGGTCCATTCAGATCAAGCGGATAATAAATAGATCCTTTTCCAGCCCAGAATAAGCGAATCTCCAGTAGATTATCATGAACATAAACATCTGTAAAATTTTCAATCCACTCCATATTTGGAGTATTGCCAGTCATTTTTTTTATGTTGAAATCTCTTCGTAGTCGCTCCCCCTGTAATGGAGAATTCCTTAGTAGATGGCAAAACTGAAAATTAGCATAATGAGTTAAAGCATTACCTGAATATATATATCAAAAACTCGCTTCCCTAAACTGCTGTAGTCTTCATCTTTTGCAAATACAGTTTCGGCGAAGTGAAGATTCACAGTGTAAAGGCCATTGTGTAAGCAGAAACCATAATATGTTAGAGATTGAGGGCAAAGACGAGCTTTAACATATAACTGATCACGAACAGAAACTCCACATGTAATGTTTTGTATGTAATTTGTGGAATCCGTTGACGATAAGAACTCTCCCAAACAACTATAAGCCCAGGGCTTTTTTGAATTTTCATACAAAGTAGTTAACAGTGTGGAATTATCTTCATCAAAGACGTTTTTTCCAGAGTTTATTCGCTCGCCACCAGCATTTATAAACAATGAATTGTCTGAAAGAAACAAGAATGTCAGTATAATTAAAATTATTGTTGTCATATCAAGCCTCAAATTGTGTGCTTGCTGAAGAGTAAACGTACATTTGGATTTTTTTCTACCACAACGATTTTCCATGATCGGACGGAGGGATTCCCTAAAGAACACAATTCAATTGGTGAGAAAAATTCAGGGTTATATTAATTGCAGAATATTGAAGATATGGACTTACCTGTTACTCGGTTCACTGGTTGCAGCAGCACATGCAGACAAGTCCACGCAAAGGTTAAAAAGAGAGACACATCCAGAAGTAAAATTTAAAGCTCAAAAGAATGGGAGAATGATGCAATTTCCTTACATATTTATTTTTGAAAGATTCCTGCAAGATAACAATTTACAGATTTTATGATATATTTCCTCTATTGATATGATATATCTTTTAATTTAATAACGAAGATATAGTGTACCTATAATTGGTCCAATGGTTGAGCAGAAGCAACATGCAAACAAGTCCATGAAATATAAAGCGAATCTTTTATGAGTGATGGTTGATATAAAAAAAGAATTTTGATGATAAAAAATAGAAAAAAAAAGTAATTGAAAATAAAGAACAGTTGAGATTGATTCTGTATTTCTATTTCCTTACACATTTCTGTTTACCGCTTCAGTCAAATTATTGTGTGAAATACCCCTGTAACAGAATAATCGGCCATTTCATAGAAGAGTGAATCTTTTATAATTAAGTGATATTTGAAAGGCAAAAAGAATTTATGGATAAGAAAAGAAGAAAAAAAAAAAAAAAGGTAGAAGAAAGAAATAGCAGTGATATTTGTATTTCTATTTCCTTGCACATACTTGCTTTCTGCTCCTTCATTTGTAAAAATATTGAATGAAATACCCCTGCAAGATAATAATCAATAATTTCACAAAAGAGTGGAAATATCTCTTTACTTTTGTATAATGTGTAACAAGTATATATGGTCACAGACATGCACCTTCATACTATAAGCAGAAATGTATTTTATGTTTGCTCACATGACTAAATATTAATATATATTAAATGCCATCTCACTAGCTTAAGATTTTAGGTGGAATGATAATGACAATTTAATAGAAAGGGTGTCTTGGAGAATTAAATATTATTGAGCTTGCACCTGTAATTTACCTGTAAACTGAAGGTTTCCGACGGTCAAGTTCTATGTATTTAGTTGCCAAATATTAATGCTGGACTTTTACTAAATAGTTAAAAACTTTTTGTCAAGTAAGATATTTAACACTCTTAAAACTTACATATACAGTCAAACAAATTCTATACAGATGACAAGGTGATTCATCAACGATGTGTAACCATATATAGCTGTCTGTATTATAAGCAATATGATCTGCGGTGAAATTAAAGTTAATGATTGAAAAGTTCACGCAACCTGATGCAATAAAGTGTAATTAAATTTTCTTAGTAACATATATATATATATACCCCTTAGATTTCACTGTGTTATTAATCCGGCTGAGAATTGTTGGATTTATCACATCTTCGGAGAGAAACCTGAAAGCAGAGATGCCAATTAACGTCAGCGAATCTAGTGATGAAGAAGAACAGTGAGATTGATGGTGATCAAGAAAGGTTCACATACATGCTACTACTTGATTTCAGATTCAGAATAGAATCTGGGATCACACCGTTAAAGTTGTTGAAGCTCAAGTCGCTGCAATGCACATAAATAATATCTTGGAATAACTAGTCATTGAAGGTTCTCGGATAAATTATTAGTGACTTAATTAACGCAGTTATTATTGAAAGACAGATGAAATCTTTGGATTTTATTAGGAAAGAGACGTACAGTCGACTCAGATATGTATTTTGATCAGATATAAATGAGGGGATTTGACCGATAATATTGCAGTTTCGCAGTACCCTTGAAAAAATTAGTCAAATCAATTAGAGTTCAGGATCCGTCAAATAACATAATATATACAAATTAAGGATCTAAAAATTAAAAAAATTTCCTATAATTAACGGGAATAGATACATGATGCGTAAAAAATGAATTGGACTACTTACAGAGTATACATGGTTGTCAAGTTACCTGACATTGGTAACGGAAAACCGGTGTGCTTCAGATCACTAACCCTCCTGGTAAAACAAAGACATGCCAGAAAGTATCACAATAACTAAGAGAAGTTCATTTCTGCAACAACAAACCACACGAGATTGAATTTTTCTTACAAAATCCTAAGTTTTGTCATGGTAAAAATTGCTGGAGGCAGTTCGTCTTCAAAATTGTTTCCCACAAGATTTCTGTGAGCAACAGAGAATAACCATAATTCAATAAGCTGACTATTCTTCTGTAATTAATCGTCCTAAAAGACATACTATTGTAAAACACATAGTCACGCCGTTCTATCGAACCATGTTTTAACTCTGACGCATAGCATGGCGTTGAGTTTGATCATTGTCATATGGCCAACCCTTGGCCTCTCTCAACGCCGACAATGCATCGGACTAGCCAGCAAGCCTGCGCTGGAATGCCAAAAGGCTTACACCAGTGCAGGCTGCATCGGGGTTCAGCCCTGACGAGGTGCACTGTGTCGCCGAAGAGCACCGATGCAGCTTACCAGCATCGGGGCTATTCCATCCATTATGCAAGATAGTTTCCTAATTGATAATTAAAGTTAAAGGTAAATTACTGTTAATTATTTTATTTTATTTTTTTGAAGTTTTAAATCCTTGTGTAAAAATTTTGTACCCTAATTGAAAATTTCCTTAAAATAAAAGATTAATAACTTTAATGATCGAGATCAGGATTCATTATGGTTATAATTTTTCAATTTATATTATTAGGGTCAAAAATTGGAATGACTGAAATATTGATTAACATTTAGATATATAATACAGTAAAAAAGGCTTACAGGGCAGAGAGATTGACCCATTTAGTAACGAATTTGGGAAACGGACCCGTCAAATTGTTCCCGGCGACGTAACTGTAAAAGAAATTAATTAGCTACAAGTTGCCCAGTAAGAAGAAGCAAAGATGAAAATATAGAAAACTATTGCAAGCTGAAAAGAACAAAAACAATTTAAAGGATGGCTCTCTTACAAATTCTCCATGGGCGCAATATTTTGATACTCGTCGGATAAATTCCCAGTGAAATAGTTGGATGACAAAGAGCTGCAACAACAGTATAATCACTAAGAGCTGCAACAACAGTATAATCACTCCCGAAAGGTCATGACCCATATTCATTGTTCCAGGAGTAAAAAACTTATACTAAATAATCATTCCTATCCTTCCTTTTGGGTCTTGTACGTCCCCCTAGATATACTTACAGAGTCCGAAGATGGCTTAATTTTCCAAGTTCTTTTGGAAGTGAACCGTTTAGTTCATTCTCACTCAATTCCCTATGAATAAAATTGAGAAATAATGGGGTTAATGATTGTGGGAATCATTTGGTTATGACTTGAAGTAGAGAGAGACCGAAAGAAGATTTCATACAATCTCTCGAGTTTGCCAAGTTTGCCAAGTTCACCCGGAATTGAGCCTGATAACCTATTAAACGATAAGTCCCTGCATAATAAACCCATAAACATGAGATCACGCAAATTCAATGAAGTAAATGAGGACAATCCTTGGATTGTGAAGATGCTTACGTTTGCTCCAGAGATGATAGATCACCAAAAGATGGTGGGATGCTGTGATTGAGAAAGTTCTTATACAGGTAGCTGTGATGGCAAAGCAGAAATTAATAGAAGACAATGGATAGAACCATATCTCTCTCTTTATATAAGAAAACTAAATGGAACTAAAAAAAAATTTATTTCATGACTTACAGATCGATTAGGTACCGCAAATTCCCCAAACTCGAAGGTATTGACCCAGTCAACTTATTGACTGAGAGGTCTCTGATCATTATTCAAACCCACTGGTTTATTATAGCAATGTTTGAAACATAGAATTCACTCTAATCTCACTCAAAGAAAAAAATCTTACAGGTAAGTAAGATTATATAAATTCCCCAGTGCGGAAGGAATGTGACCTTGAATGTTGTTGTTGGCTAGATCACTGTTGAGTTTGGACATAAAAATAACCAAAGATTCAGCCAAAGGGTATTTCTATGATACCGGGCTGGTACCTCTTATTGCCTACAAAGGGAATTACTCTTTCTGTGGCAAATGTGAGAGAGCCCAGCTACGTTACTGGGGAGTACAGTCAGGGGAAAAGAAATGATGAAAAGCAATTATACTTACAGTATCTCCAGGTATGTAAGATTTTTCACAGCAGCATTGATATATCCATCTAAAGGTACATCCCTCAACACTCTGTTCCACAAGAATGATTGAATTTAACATGATAAGGATCTTGGATCAATTTGACTGTACTGTATCAGAGTCAAGCTTACATTGCAATGATATGCTCTTTAGAACTTACATTTTAGTGACGTGCCAAGTATTGTCGATAATGGTGCAGTTGATGACATTGCCATAACCAAGATCCTGCTCCTCGTTACAATAGGAATATTGATCTGGATTATATTGTGACGGAAACTCTAAGTTGAGTATGAATGTGGAAAGAGCCCGAGCTGCCAAATATTTTGACATAAACTATTTAATAAATGTTAATTTACTGAAAATATTTATTAAGGAAGAGAGATTAGATAATACATTCAGCAGAAGGCATTATTGCTGGCCCTGCTGAACTATCCGTTGCTGGCTCTGCAATTTCACAAAGGACAAAGAAAATAATTAAAGGAATAACAGACTTGGTAAGAAGCATCAGACAACTTCTATTCATGATTTTTTTTTTTTTCCAGCTCACTCAGTCTCGTATTCTCTGCTATTAAGCTACTGAGCTTGGTTCACCTGGATCTATTTATGAGAAGAAAGTGTAGTAGAAAACTAACTGTAAAGTCGCCACTCGAGGAAAGTAATCTAGAATGTCCCACACCCTTAATATTAAACTATCATGGAGAGATTTAATGTTTGCTATGGATATTATAGTAATTTAAAAAAAAAAGTCAGTGTTGTTTTTACAATCGCGGATAAAAATTATTAGGCAAAATATATAAAATGAATAATGGATTATGAAATCAATAATACTATACTTTTAAAGAAATTTTACAAAGATTTTCATATAAAATGAAATGACAAAAAATTAATAGAAGAATAAAATAAAAAGTCAAACTCATTATATTCACTCTTCTATTCATTTTTTGACATATCACTTTATATGGAGATCTTTATAATAGTTCTTAGTAATGCTATGAAATTTAGGCGTTTTACTTCAAGCTCCAAGGTTTGAAAACTTTATCATTGATACCCCTTTACCCTAACTCAGTAACATTGCTGTTAGGTTTATAAGAGTAAATTATTCTATTACCCCTTTTATTCAATTTTTAGAAAATAAAAAAATGTTTATGAATTGATCAATCTAATCTTTCTATTTAAATTAATACAAATGCGCCTTAAACATGTTACATAACTACCTTTCTTTAAAATTTTTCAAAACAATTTCTTATAAGATTGAAGTTACCATTTATCCCACCAACACTAACCACAACATAACAAAATAAGAAAATTGGGGTATGAGTGATACAATTTTTACACTTTAAAGGTCCATTCAATAAAAAGTGCGAAAATTGTCATCCACATAATAAATTCAAAAACCTTAGAGACAGTCTATGTTATTCTTGTTGGAAAAATGACTTATTAGCAAAATCCTACATGGGGTAGGAGTGAAAATGGAGAAAAGTTTAGGGATCTATATTAAACAGGCCAAAGGTTAGTATGTCCCATATTGATTAGGAATGATAGTTGTGGAACTTTTGGGGCCTATATATAAAGACCTAAGCCATAGTTATTAGCATCCTAAATTGTATTTCCATTATACCTCTCTTGTATAAGGTTCTTTCATTAACAATCTTTTAGTTGAAAAGTTTTGTTGTATCTTCCTATTGTTTTGAGTATTTATTTTTATGCCTATATAGTTTGAGTACTTGTAGTATTGTCCAAAAGTTTGAAATATTCTTTAGAGATAGTGAAGTTTTCTTTTACAGCACCCGAAGACGTAAGTTATAATACCGAACCTCTTTCATTTTTGGTATTCTTTATTTTTGCATTTATTTTGACTATTTATTTCTGCTTTAGCAGTTGTTGTTATTATATTTAAATAGCTAGCATTAGAGTTTATGTTTCCGCTGCATAACAAATGGTATTACCGTTGCATAACAATTCTCCCGATAATAAAGAAAATCTTTAAATAATTGGTAAGTCTTGCTGGCTTTGGCCGTGTCAACTAAACAAATTATACATTGGAACTCTAAAATAGGTAGTAAGTAATAAAAATAATCTGTTTTACTTAGACCACGAGTTCAAGTAATTATCATTGTTTTCTTACATTTTAAAGTGCTGACATAATATAAGATTATATATCTATGGGTTTGGACATATATGGTCAATTCAATAATTATACTTTCTCAAAATGTGCAGCATGTTCTGTTTAAAGTACAAATCCAGCTATAAAATCTAATGACTTATCAATTATATCCTTAATGAGACAACAAATAATATATTACTAATATATAATGCTAGTCTATGCTAGACTCGATAGTGTAACTCAAGTTTAGCATTTAACAGTATGGTATGATAGTCTAATTAAAGCATGCAAGATCATACTAGATCATGCTAGATTTGGTAGTCTAATGCATTCAGGCTATTTTTGCCTTTAATGAGTTTTACAAAAAAAAGATATATTAGCGATAAGATCCGACAAAAGACGTCAATAAGAGAAGTTGTTTAACCATTTTTTAATTTGTCTTTACTCTAAAACTTCTGGCTTTTGCTTATTCTGTTTGTGGTTTATGCATATAAGAGCAAATAAATTCCATAGAAGTAGGGTCACCTTGGCTTAAAGAGAAATAATAAATCTCATCAAACGTCATGAGCATGACCTCAGCGTCCATTAAAGAAAAAGAAGATACACACTGATTTATTTAATTAATTTATTTTTTACTTTACTTTTTGACAGAAATGGTTCAGTGAGACGTTTTCTTTATCATTTTCATTTAGTTTTTTCGTGAGGGCATTGAAACAGAAGTGTATGAATCAATTTACTCTTCTTTCGAGATTTTCTAATTTGTCTTTTCTCTTAAACTTCTAGCTTTTACTTAATTTATCTGTTCTTTATACATATAAGAGTAAATAAATTCCAAAGAAGTAGGGTCATCTTACTTTAAATTATAAATAATAAATCTCATTAAACGTCATGAACATACCTTAAGAAACAGGTTTGAACTTGATTCTCTAGCTAATGTGAGAGCATTACTTTTCTTCCCGCACTAAGTGGTAAAGACTTAACAATGCAATTAAAAAATTAAAGGCACAAAACGGACAGACTCTAAGAGGAAGCAAAGAACCTGACTGACAGTAGAAAGGAAATAAGTTTGACGATGCTATAACTTTAATGGCGGGACTGACAGGTTTTTAAATTATATATGTGTTCAAAGAAAAAGATACATAGAGAGTAAAAATATGGCTTTCCTTTTGCATCAAGTTTGAAGCTTCCTTCCAGAGAAGAGAAGAATTTTCGTAAAATAATCTCAGATTTGGATATCACATCATGAAGAATTTTTAATTCCTGTCCAATCAAATGGACTCATTACTGTTGGAGTTATCGACTACTTCAGCATTAATGGGTAACGGAGACGCACTCGGGAATAAGAATCCTTGTAAAACTAGGTTTAATCTCTTAAACCTAGTATATAAATATACTTTTCTCTTGTTATGTGCGATAGAATAATTCATTCATTGTAAACGAGAGAGGTGAGACATATTGCAATAATATTGACTCAGCTGGACGTAGCCCATATTGGGTGAACCAGGGTAAATCGCGCGTATTATTTTCTTTGTTTACTGTTTGTTTTGTTTTACTATTATTATTTTGTTCCTGTTGTTGTCTCTATTTCGTTCAATTACTTTGAAAGGACCAAGAAATTATAGGGTGAAATTGTAGGAGAAGAGCTATCAGTGTGTTTTGATGATAGTTAAGTTAATACGTACTTGGGAAAGGCAACATTGTCATCTAGAGAACCTCTAAACTATGTAGCCAACTTTTTGCCCTTCCACATTTCTTCTTAGGTTGAAAAACGAATTATAGGCTGAGATTAGTCCACCTATCAATATTTATTTAAATATCATTTTCTAATTGGGAATTATCCTTTCTGGATTTACCGCAAAATAACAACTTTACAATTTACATTAATCTTTTGATTATTATCTGTTATTTTCCTATATTTTTATTTGACAATTTTCATTAATCTTAGGGTGACAAATTGTTTGATCTTTTAGCTATCAATTTAAATTTGTGTACATCTTATTAGGTCTTGTATTAACATTTTTGATTGGATGTGACAAATTGCATTTCAGCTTTTGAATGGCATGCAAAGGAACTTAAAAACAGAAAATCTGTGGAACTTCTTCTGAGAAAAATATGTGTTTTCCTTTAGAAAAACTATTGTTGAAAATTACACTCAAGGTGCGTTTGGTTCGAGAAATATTTTATTACAGAAAATATGGGATTACTAGTGAGATAGACTACCTTGAAGATTATGAGAGAATGTTATATTAATATGTTTGGTTAGATTAGTGAGTATAAATAATTAAGATGTTTGGTTGAGAAGAATAAAATATTATCGACAGAAGCTTTTGCTAAATTACCCTTCATTTTTAATATCATTATATTAATAAAAATAATAATAATAATATTATTTAAATAAATTCTTTTAACCCCCTATATTTGAAAATTTAGCTAAAACACCAAACAATAAAGTTTAAATTTTAACAAAATACCCTCAAACACCCAAGACCACTGCCAACCGCATGATAAATTCAAAAACCTTGGAGATAGTCTATGTTATTCTCCCAATAATAAAGAAAAATAGTTAAATAATTAATGAGTTCTGCTAGCTTTGGCCATGTCAACTACACAAAATATACATTGGAACTCTAAAATATGTAGTAAGTAATAATAAGTACATCCATGCAAGCACCATAATCTGTTTTACGTTAGACCATGAGTTCAAGTAATTATCATTGTTTGCTTATAATAATTGATAATATTTTAAAGTAATGAAATAATATAAGATAATACGTCTATGGTTTGGAGATACATATAGTCAACTCAATAATCATACTTTCCCAAAATGTGCAACAGGTTTTATTTAAAGTACAAATCAACCATAAAATCCAATGACTTACCAATTATACCCTTAATGAAACAATAAATGATATATTACTAATATATAATGCTAGATCGACTATGTTAGACTCGATAGTCTAGCTCGAGTTTAGCATTTAATAGTATGATATATTACTAATATATAATGCTAGACCATACTAGATCATGCTAGATTTGATAGTCTAGTACATTCCGGCTATTTTTGCCTTTAGTGAGTTTTACAAAAGAAAGATATATTAGCGATAAGCTCCGACAAAAGACATCAATAGGAGAGGTTGTTTAACCATTTTTTTAATTTGTCTTTCCGCTAAAACTTCTAGCTTTTACTTATTCCCTTTGTTGTTTATACAAATAAGAGCAAATAAATTCCAAAGAAGTAGGGTCGCCTTGGTTTAAAGAGAAATAATAAATCTCATCAAACGTCATGAGCATGACCTCAATGTCCATTCAAGAAAAAGAAGATAAACACACTGATTTATTTAATTAATTTATTTTTTACTTTACTTTTTGACATAAATGGTTCATTAAGACCTGTTCTTTATCATTTTCATTTAGTTTGT